CCAGGTGCAGGACCTTGCACTTGGCCTTGTTGAACCTCATGAGGTTCACACAGGCCCACCTCTCCAGCCTGTCCAGGTCTCTCTGGATGACATCCCGTCCTGCTGGTGTGTCAATCACACCACTCAGTTTGGTGTCATCCGCAAACTTGCTGAGGGTGCACTCGATCTCACTGTCTAAGTCATTGATGAAAACATTAAACAGCACCGGTCCCAGCACGGACCCCTGAGGGACACCACTCGTCACCGGTCTCCATCCGGACATCAAGCCATTGACCACTACCCTCTGGACACGACCATCCAGCCAGTTCCTTATCCACCGAACAGTCCACCCATCAAATCCATAGCTCTCCAATTTAGAGAGAAGGATGTTGTGGGGGACCGTGTCAAAGGCCTTGCAGAAGTCCAGATAGATGACATCCATTGGTTTTCCTTTGTCCACTGATGCTGTCACACCATCATAGAAAGCCACTAGGTTCGTCAGGCAGGACTTGCCCTTGGTGAAGCCATGCTGGCTATCTCGAATTATCTCCCTGGCCTGCATGTGCCTTTTGCGTGCGTAATGTGTAGTACCAATTAAATGAAGCAATTTTGAAAGCTGAAGGGAAAAAATAGCCGAGTGTCTTGAATTCTAAATACTTGCTTTAAACATGTAGAATGTTATTTTCCTGTTGTAATAGATAGCATTAGAATGGTGATGCTTATAGGGCTGTATAGAAACATCTTGGTAGAGAATGAGAGGTGTTACTTCGTACAATAAGAAAAAAATTGCTATTTTTCCTAAAGTCGATGGATTTTTCTTCTGCTTTGTTAACCTCCTGAAAGGTGCTGCTGTTCTGCAGAAACATTTCCTCTAGTTTACTAAGCCGTGGGTTTAAAATAGAAATTCAACATAGGGAATGGCTAAGTACGTGACATCCAAACTGCTGCTTTCACCTACAAATAATTCCCCCAATGGTCACATAAAGGAAAGCGTCTTCTCAGGCCTGGAAAGAGGCAAAAGGGGCCCCCGTGGGCCTGGGGGATAGTTCACCACCGACAAATCCCGTAGTCCTGATCGTATGGCACTAGAGCCGTGCTATTGATACAATGCTTCCTTAATGAAAAATACCAATTTTATTTTACTGCCTGTGCTGCTTTCTGTAGCCTAAACAAAACAGGCGGAGCTTGAGAAAAAGCCAGGACAGGTTTCTATCACTACAACGGTTGATGTTTCTAGTAAAAGATGTCCGGAGGTCTCACGTCTGCCTTTCTCATGTGAACATCCCTGGCTGGAGTTCTTGGTAGGTGTTGGGTGCAGCCACAGAAGCTGATTTTTTTGCATGAAGGAAAGAATTAATGTAAGAAGTATCAAAATAAAAGGGAAACACCCCCTACCAAACCCCCTCCTGGTAATAAATGTTAGAATTCATGCTTAGGGGGTTTTTTTTTTCTGTTAAATTAAAAAATTGTTTAGAGAATAAATCTTAAAAGTTCTGGAATAGGTTTTACTATTGTCAGCAGGTACGGTGGGGAGCACCGATTTTATTCATGTCTGAGTAAGTTATTCCTATACAGATGACAGGTGAAATGATTAAACTTACTAATACTGCTGGGAGTAGAAAGTGATTCTACTTTTTCAGTTGTGTAAGAGCCAGCATCAGAGCAAGCTCAGCAATAGAACTGTAGGGGTAAAGCCGTATTCTATTTTTATTAACTCTCCAGAACACACAGAATACTCTTCTGTTAAAGATCCCTGCAAAAGCGATGTAGGGCACAATGTTATCCTTCGGGTGTTAGGTTTATAAAATCTTTAGAGAATGCATATTCTGTTGCACTGGGAAAGAGACATGCACACACTTCCTCCCCTCCCAGCCCCCCCCC